TCAACTTTATAGTTTCTGATGAAATCTAGTTATTTTTGTCTTAACTTATATCTCTGAATTATCATTAAAAATTTCACGAATCATATTTTCGACTAATTAAAAAAGTCTGTATGTCGTATCGTTACCATAGTAACTGAACAAATTTCCAGAGAATGTTTCCTCCTCGGTTTCCTCATTGGGGGGAAGGAGCATGAAATTATACTGGAAGATTCCTCAGGAATGTATAATCCGAGGTATAATCGGTCGAAAAAAGAAAAAATGAATTAATACTGCACAAACTCTCATTATGGATTGCTAAATTCATTTTTGTTCCTTGGACCGCTTGGAGTAAGAAATCGATTTATTTTCTCGCAAAGTGCCTATCACGTGTTAGTATAAAGATTAAGAAACTCACCAGTATGAAATCTGCATATAGTCCACATATTATGAATTCTCAAAACACTTCACAAAACACCGACACAGCACAGAATAACGCGATATAATCACTATACCGAACGATATGTATTAGAAAGACACAGAATTATCACTCTTTTTAATAAACACAGTTGTAGATTTAAAACAGTTCTTTTTCAACGGCTTTATAACACAAAATTGCTATTGATTTCACAAAATCTCATCTCCCTTATATCTGTGCATGATAGCCGTAAAAAAAGTAGTGTATAACTCGCACAGAATGCTAATTTCTCATTCCGTGCTCGTTAAACAATACAGGGTTATTCACGATGAGCGTCAATTAGACGGTTCTGGCAAACCAAGCAACAGATGAATCTGAAAATTTGATGGTCAGAATAACTTGACATGATCTACACATTAAAATATTTTAAAAGATGTGGCGTTGCCGCTTCAACTAGAAAGTAGCAGCAAGTTTGATTTTTTCAAATGGAACACCCTGTTCTTCATTGTATTTCTAGATTCTTCCTAAAGAGCTGATTTCATGGATGTATCACACTTGGGGTCTAGCACGAAAGATGATAGATGTCAAAATCGACATTTTTCAACTTAGGGATTTTTTTGTGCCGAGACTATTCATTATTTGTCGAAACGGTTTACATGTCCCTATCTTAACTGTTGATTTATTATTTACTTACATTTGATTGGTACATAAACGTTATATATTTTTGTTCCAATTAAATGTCGGTAGATAGTAAATCAAAAGTAGAGATAGGATATGGAAACTGTTTTGACCAATAATAAGTTTCGACAAAAAAATCCTAAAGTCGAAGAATCTCGATTTTGAACACCCTATATCACTGTAATCATTCCCGCTAGACCCCACAAGTGTGATGCATTTATGACATCAGCTCTTCAGGGAAAAATCTGAAAATGCAATGATGTTCCATTTGAAAAGTTATAGTCGCTGCTACATTCTAGTAGAAGTGGCAACGCCGCTTCGTTTAAAATATTTCAGACGTGTAGATAATGTCAATTTATACATACCATCAAATTTTTAGATCCATCTGTTACTTGGTTTGCCAGAAACGTCTGATTAAAACCATTTAAAACTAATTGTGAAAAACCATTATTTCGAGTGACTAGATTCTTGCTTGAAACTGATACGAGCACTTTTGAGTAGACCGTACGCGAAGACATCTAACATAGGACTGATACGATTCACCACCTGGTCCCGAATGACTAATTAGTTGCGTCACATTTCGTTCCTATCAATTCCAGAAACAAGTATTTATCTATGACTAATAATAATAATAATGATGATATCTGAAGTACACATGGAATATACTACAGGTTTACAGGGTCATTTGAAACGATAATCTCAACTTAAATGCGGACTTTTCAAATACAGTTTTTTTCGTATCAACTTATAGCTCTGAATTATTATTAAAAATCACATTTGAGGGATACCTAGGTGTATATTATAAATATTACATTATTTGATTCATCACATATGTTCCTTGTCAGTTCAATTTCAACTGATTGAGTTACCAGTTTTCATTCGAATAAATTAGTAAGATAAATTTCAAACTTGAATTGAATGTAACAGTATTATTAACTATAATAACTGTTATATTATTTTCCGGGTCAAGAATCATTGTGTTGAAAAAGAATTATACTATCTAAAACAAAATGATCAGCTTTTCTTCGAAACTGAAATTCAGGATAATATTCCGAATCTCGAATCTATCAATTTCACCAAAATCGGAAAGAATTATAAAAGTTACAGGGCGATCGATTATGTTCAATTTTTTTGCCGGGTTTTTGTGCTCTCAAGGAGAACTTTTTTCTCTATTTTTCGTTCGTGGAATCCAGATTCTATGTATTCTACGCCAATTATGGTACAATCTGTATTATTATCACATATAATTACACAAAAGCAACTTTTTTCATGAAGTAGAAATTTCAGAGAATTTTGTTGTCTGGACACGAGCGTCACCTATAGGGTAGAAGGAAAGAAACACTCCAAAACAAATTCCATCTCGCAGTGGCCGAACGCCTCGTGAGTTATTGGCCGCTGTTACATGACACACCCTGTATTGTTGTATCGGTGGTAACGGAAGGATGCGCTTTCAAAAATATCAATCGACGTGTACGAAGCGTTTTGATTCATTCTCGAATTTATTCCATTTGGCTGATACATACTGTATGTTTATAAGGAATAAGGATCAGCGATCGGTTATTGCTGTCGATACTGAAGGATCTATTTAGGTAAGGATATAGAAATGTCATTGACCGATGACCGCCATAGCTGAATCGGAATCGTTCAAATTTATTTATTCCTTCTATAATATTATGTCATCCTGTAAGAGATACGAATGTATTGATGGTGGCATACTCGAAATTCGCGTGGGGACTACAATGAACTCAATGTAAACAACGAGTGCTATCATCACAGAATCCTTATAAAGGATGTCCCTAGTCCCTGCCATGAAGTCGATTCAATGATCGGTTCAACATAATTATCAAGTCCTTGAGCAAAAATGATTTAATCTTTGGTAGAAGTCTATGGTATCTCAAAGTGGAGTCAAGTATTAAATACTTGATACACAAAGTCATCTCCACGACATTTAATAATGTGATTAACACATCAAAAATTGGTGCATGTTTTGCACATATACAGTATGATGCAAATGTATGGAATAAATTCATTCCAAAACAAGACGACTTTCGAAAAAAAAAAACCAAAAGCTAGAGTTTAGAACTTTTTTTCGACGTATTTTTTTAACTAGACGACCCTTCGATGTTCAATTCTCAGTAGCAGACCTCTGCAAGATTCAATTAATCACATGACAATCCATTTTAATTTCAATCTTCTTATGCAACATTTTGACTGTTGAATAGACGATCGGTAGACCTTTCAATCAAGGTGTCACATGACCCCTATTTGTATTTGAAAAAATCGTCTTTACTCCAACACCGGTGACGTAACATCTCTCATATGCATATCATGAGATGAGGCTTCAGAAATTAAAACTCACGTGTTTCTGGAATTTTTTCAAATGTCGCCCATTTCTGAAATAATGAATTTATTCCATACATTTGCATCATACTGTAAATACGAGTGCTTATATGGGGATAAAAAAGGTTATGTCAACAACGTATTCTAACACAGTACTGGTCATTGTACCAGTATATCACCTGACGAAGCTACTGTGTTAGCGAAACATGTCGTGTGTTTGAGAATTTTGTGGAAATCTTATCGTTTGTGAAGTTATTACATTTGTCATGGATTTCCATCAAGTAGAGGTAACGGCCGAGTCAATTCAACACTTTCTGGTGTTTAGATGTAATTTATGGTCAGAGCAGAAGTTTTGAAATCTGTGAATATCAGATTGAAGGTCACTGCAGTCGTTTATATTACTGATTGTTTTGTAAATTTTCATGTCATATCAGCATACTGGGAAAAATTTGAGTACTGAAAACAGTTGCCAATATCGTTTATGAAGAGAGTAAACATAAGTGGCCCCAAGTGTGATCCCTGTGGTACACCGGAGGTCACCTGTACGTAGTTTGATAAATATTTATTCAATTTAACGCATTGGCTTCTCTTTAGTATTTAAAAAGAATTTAACTCTTCTTCAGCTGTTCGATGTATAAGTACAACAGGGTGTCATTTCATCGAATTTTCATTTCAACAAAAATAGCTCTAAAGTTCATTGCAATATTGCCAATCGTTTTCAGTTTCATTTTCAAAGCACATGACTCATAACTCTGAAGTAGAGGTATACATACCTACTTCTAGATAGTTCCATTTTACATAATTGTGCTCATTAAATTTTTTTCATATCTGATGATTGACTGTTCTTTTAGTTCATACATTTGAGATATAAAAGAGAGAATAGTTATTTGTATAGTATTAGTAGTAGGCTAGGAATTCAGCTAAGGCAGTCAATCTACTGTGCTGCCGAGTTGAACATATAATTTTTTCTCCGATTGTTCATAATGATATAGGAGGATATTGTATTTGCAAATTATTACAATTCCCACAATCTCTTTATTTTTCCTGTAGTGTTCAATTAAAATAATGTCCATAATAATTATAGTTTGAATTCATGAAATTTCTGACAGTTGTGCAAAACAATAATGATATGTATAAATTATTATATAATGGACAGTGATAGCGATCTGGAAGTACTTACTCTTCCAGAAATAAGGGAGGTGGCATAAAATATAGAGTTGAATTTGTTGCCGGAGAAGTCTCGGATGAAATATGAAGGAAATTATAAACGATTCATGGATTATTAATTTTGCTGACACATATCAATCAGCGAAGTAACCACTTTGCTGTCTAGGCAGGAAAAGTCATACTTTGCTGATTGATGTGTGTCAGCAAAATTAATATTTGCTGCCAATCGGAGAAAAAATCATTTAAACATCCTATTTCATTAAAAAATAAAAGGAAATATTGGTTTACTCTCTATGGAGTTCCTGTATCCAGTAGTATATCCACTCTTTAATCTGTATATAAATTTATGTTCAGTGCATTATCAGTCATCTAACATTATATTGAATATTGCGTATAAAGTTATGACGATAACATATTATTTATCACTTTCATTTCGAAAGCGATAGAGTGCGTGACTACGTGAGATTTGATATTCTATTATTAGTTCTTTCATACATATAGGTACTGCACGGTAGATAAATCCTTTGCCTAGTTGACATTGTGAATCTTGCTGCGGTCTTTGGATATGGCAAAAATCAGTGTGGACTTGCCAGATATTGAGGTGAGTGAAAACTATTTCTACAGGGGACCAGCAAACATCAAATCTTCGGCTGCAACCTGGCCCAGTACTTACATGATAGATCGGCAGATCGAAATAGTCACAATGCTCACAAAGTGGAATGAAATGTTGAATGAACATTGTGTGGAAATGACTTTGAGCTTTTTGTATTTATTTTCATTCCACTATGAGCATTGTAGCTATTTCGTAGTAAGAGGACGCCTCGGAGGGAATATAATGCCGACTTGATTTTCGTTAGGCTAGGCTATATACGCATAGTCGGCGGTCTTCGGACTACTGGCTGGAGACTGCCCTGCACTGATGAAAGTTAAAGAGCTCGAAACCGGTCTGTAGGTGTCTAGTGTGGCCTGACTAAATCGAAATCAATAAGCATTCAGGAAAGAATCACTTGTATCAGTATTCGTTTATACGAGTCGATGAATAGATTTCGTGGGATTCAATGTTCTGGGCGGCATTAGCCAGGAAAGTAGTTTTTTTCCGAAATCTACCATTGTTGTTTATTTTATGAACATTGTATGGAAATGACTTGAGCTTTTTGTATTTATTTAATTCCACTTTGAGCATTGTGGTTATTTCGTAGGATGAACAGAAATATTTCAAAAACTTTCAATCGTATATTTTCATGATAAGTTGATTTTTTGAGAAATGAGTTGATCCGACTTGGAGAAATTTTAATTTGATGAGCTCTGGATCCAGATATGCCATAAAATAGTATATTGTGCAACAAGTGGGAAAAGTTCAACTTTCCTCACGAGTGCGATAGTTTGTGGCACGAGCCTGAAGGGCGAGTGATGCAAACGCACGAGTGAGAAAAGTGCTTTTCCCCACATGTTGCACACTATACTTTTTCTACAACTGCACTTATTCAAAGAATCCGAGTAATGTTACTTATTGGTATTCATTTTATAATGTGTCACTATATGCCACATTGAATATTGTGACCAAAGAGTAAACGCCTTTCCTAGTTCCTCAAAGTATTTCAAAAAAGTATACTTTCCGAAAAAGATTTTATTTCTGTATTTTTTCAGATTCCATAAATTTTTCGTACCAATAAGCCAATTCATACTTTTTTCTTGGAATTTCCGGAAACAAATCCAACTTTCGCAGCTTTTTCCATTATCTCTATCTCTGGCGGTGTATTTATCAAAATCGTCACATCTCGGTATATACATCATATTATTTATTATGAATTGTTGGAACAATATATGATGGAAAATGCGATTTCTATCAAAAGCACTAATGAGAAGTACCCAAAAGAACTTAAAAAACTTCTTCTGACAGTTTTGACAACTATTCAAAGCTGAACAGCAGCCAAGTTTTGTTCGATTTTTGTTGATTCTCCATGGAAATGTATGTGGTGTTGGCAAAGTGCCGTGAGAAAAAATATATCTCACAGTATATGGGCAATACATGGTTTTGAAACCGAGTAAGCTACTTTTCATAGCAGTAGTAGAAAAACATGTTTTGTTTACTGGAGATAGCCAGTCCGCAATTTTTTAGTCCAGTACGAAAATTATATCCACCCCGTATTATTTGTATTTATTCAAGATATTATGGGAGTACATATAGGCTCTACCGGAGAAATTATTTAACTCCTACTACAGTGTGTGACCATGATGATAGGGACCAATGTCTCATTTTTACTCACAACTGGATCACCCTGTATATTATTCATGTGATTTGAAGAATGATGGATGTTTAATATTAATAACTGATTACATGTTTGAGAATATTTTCGAAAGCGTCCCAAATTATTTGATTGCTCCTAGATATTTTGTTATTATTTGCTTAGCATAGTCAGCTGCATTGTTCATTATCAAAAATGCTTTGTTACGAAAGATGATATGCTATCATTGATATAAGTATAACAGTTTATAACTGCTGATTTTCCTATTTCAGTCAAGAGAATATTGCCGAATTACACAAAAATTACGAAAATTATATAGATATATTCTTTATTCCAATGACATAGCAGAACTTGATGTTATAGAAAAGGAACATTCTCAGATATATTTATGAACACAAAAAAATGGATATATATATAAAGAAATACATTGAGAATTCGCATTCTCCATGTTATGAAAATATCAATTCTCTCACGGTTTATTCAACAGAAAACAACTACTTTCCTGGCTATATGCCACGACGAATATTGAATTACATCTATTGAACACACACGATGAGAATTTGAAAACAAAATCTTCTGAAGTAAAGAATTTGCATTCTCCTTCATATAAAGATTACATATGCATATAATATAATTCTGAATATTCAACAGAAAACAACTACTTGAATTACCATCTGTTGAATATCCAAAAAGAGAGCATGAGAGATCAAAATCCTCTGAAATCTCTCAAATCGAATAGAATAATATGATGTATTATGATATGAAAATATAACTTTTATATATATATATATATCATATACAGTATGATGCAAATGTATGGAATAAATTCATTTCAAAACAAGACGACTTCCGAAAAAAATCCAAAAAGTAGAGTTCAGAACATTGTTATCGATGTATTTTTTCAACTAGACGACCTTTCGATGTTCAATTCTCAGTAGAAGATCTCTGCAAGATTCAGTTAACCAAATGATCATCCATTTTAATTTCAATCTTCTTTTGCAAAATTTTGACTATTGGATAGACGATCAGTAGACCTTTCAAACGAGGTGTCACATGACCCCTGTTTGTATTTAAAAAAACCGTCTATTACGTCATTACTCCAACACCGGTGACGTAACATCTCTCATATGAATGTCATGAGATGAGGTTTCAAAAATTAAAACTCACGTGTTTTTGGAATTTCTTCAAATGTCGCCCATTTCTGAAATAATGAATTTATTCCATACATTTGCATCATACTGTATATCATATACGGTATACGGTGTGTATAAAATGAGACCTCGCATCATGAAGAAATGATGGAAGTTCGAGAAACACATCCATTAACAATATTTCTTCGTCAAATATAATATTGTAACCTCAATGAAATACTCTTATAACTACATAATTGCATGAAAAAATGAAGAAAAAAACATGCGTGATTGTATCAGGAATTTCCGCAATTTTCTGTAACATAAATTATTTAATTCTGGATGAAGGTTTGTTGAAATTTTCTGTTATTTGAAACGTTCATCAGATTTCATGATAGATCAAAACTAATTGAAGTATATTATTTCCATCAGAATATTTTGGCCTTGAATCCACGTGTCAGGGATTATTCTAACTTTGTACCATCCAGCACAACGAAGAAGAATAAAGCACACTGGAAGAGAAATATTGATAAAAAATGTCAGGTGAGTCTACGCAAATATAATGTCATATTGTAAACAGATCGTTTTTCTCATTCCACCATTAGGATCTCATTGATAACTGAATATAGATCTATAGGTGTAGAGAAATTGAAAATCGGAATTTTCGGAATATAGCAAAAAGACGGAGAATGACCATGCTTCATTATTTTTGAGACTCTTTTTCCTACCTACCAATTATACAGTGAGCACGTGAAAAAGTTGTGTTGAATTCGTTAAGCTTGATATGGCCATTAGAGAAAGAAGCTCAGACACGTCATTTGTTTTTTTCACATTCGCGTTTGATGACGTTTCACTATGAATTACTTGATGATGAATGCAGTCTCTATTATTTCTTTAACATATTTTTATGTAATATCGGGGAAAATATGACATCCAGCCACCAGAAAAATGCGTTTCATCAGAATATATTTTGAAAAATGATGATGCCGTCATAACACGAACAGTGATGACGACATAAAAAATATGAGTCGACCGAAAAATCCGCAACTGACCATTTCAGACTTTCGACAAATTTGTTCAAAAATTTACGTGCTCACTAAATATACATACAAAAACCTGTCCACAGGTAACTAATCCTTCAGGTTGGGAAAGTAGGATATATATATACCAGTATATCACCTGACGAAGCTACTGTGCTATAGCGAAACATATATGTCGTGTGTTTGAGAATTTTGTGAAAAGCTTATCTTTGTGTAGTTTTTTTATTTGCCATGGATTTCCATCAAGTAACGGTCGAGTCATTAAAAAAAAAACAAACACAAACCAGTTTTTCAAAGGCAAACATCATTTTAGACAGTGGAGTGCGTTTTTATTGAAATTAAAAGGGGTGCATTTTTTGACCTCATAATGGTTTCAAACCCCAGAATGCTTAAAAAAAACAGGTACATCTGAGCAGCATTTTCGCGAACGTGATAATTTTGTACTTGGAAACGGGTTCAACATAAAGTATATCCTGTTTTTCTTTCAAATAATAATTTTCTACCTACCAGGGCCATTGATCGTTCCAAAATTTGCAGTTGATTTGAAAATAATTAAACCGATCTTGTTGATTCTGATTGGGGTGATTTTCTGCACATGGAGGTTCAAAAGCATGAGGAACAAGAATATGAGGTAACTTTTTTTGCAAAAAATATCTAATATGATTTCATAGAATTCGGCCCTTTTTATTTCAATAAAAAAAGCACTGCACTGCACTAGCCAGAAGGATGTTGGTGTCTGCAAAACCGATTCAATTAATGGTTGTTCATATACCGGTCCAAATTTGGTACGAATCGTACTACTATAATAGCTGATATATAGAGGGGGGCTGTTTAAAGTGGGACACACTGTATACAACTGTGTTTCCAATCCTTTGTATTTACCTGAGTGTATTTATTCTTGTGTAACGGTGATGTTGTATTATTTCAAAATTTTCTTCGAGACAGAAATGACCTGCTATGAATATTATAGTCAAATGAAATATCCATCTATCTATTATCCTTCATCAAGCTGTATAATTACTTGTATTTACTTTGAACAGGGATGTGCACCATTGGAAAATAATTTTTCTGATATCAAACCCACCACCCTGAGTGAAAGAGGAGCCCTGAGAGAATCAGCTAGATGCTTGAAATGTGCGGACGCACCATGCCAGAAATCTTGCCCTACCCAACTGGATATAAAATCTTTCATAACTAGTATAGCAAACAGGGTAAATATCCATTTCTCCAGTTTTGGAATACTTATAAGTACCGGGTGTACCACCAAAAATATTCATGATTAAAGTGGCCAAGAAAAATCTCTGGAAATCATTTTCAAGTTTCCAGGACAGCCGCTAGAGGGCATAACTGCATTGGCCAATTTTAAAAACGGGCTTTTATGAAAATTTGATATATCAAGACAACTCAGGAACACTTTCTCCATGTTCTCGAGTTGATTTACAATCATTTCAATCCAAAAAAATTGCGCTTGCTCTTTAAATGAGAGAGGGAGGGAAGGATGAATAGTACTCTGAAAAACTCTCATTACTACAGTTTGTTGTAAGGGTCTCATTATGGAGGGTTTTTTCAGATCTTCTTCAAATAGAACCATACATTTTTCCTGCTATGATATGAAAGTAAAGTAAACGAGAAGAAAAATGCTGAAAACCGCGAGTTGATACCTTTTGAAGAACCGGAGAAATATACTCGGAATAATATTAAAATTTAAACTGTTAGCATGTCAAATGCCTCCTCATTCGTTATCAGCATTTTGACAAAAAAGCAATCCATAATGAACAGTCAAACTTCCAATCGAACTTCAATTATATTTTGACGTTTCTTTCATTCAAAGCCAACTTGTCTTTTCTCATTCCTGAGCTTATACTCACTAATTACATTTCAATTAGCTATGTCATAACTAAGAGTCTCCTATTCACTATTGTGAGATATAACAGCAGTTTGTGAAACGACAATAAATGAATTATTGAGATCATAATTTCATAGGTACAGGATATTTCTGATTACGATTATTGAAGTTGAATTCATGTGGTCAATATTTTCATAATATTATTTCGAGTATTTCACCGGTTCCTCAAGAGGTATCAATTTGCGGTTTTCACAATTTTTCTTCTCGTTTGCTCTACTTTCATATTAGAGTAGAATGAATATATGGTTCAATTTGAAATTTTCGAAAAAAATGCAAAATTGTCTGATTTTTCAAACGATGCCATCTAGCGGCCACCACAGCATTTCAATTCGACTTGATTCGTGATTCATCTGGAAGAACCAAAAAACCCTTCATAATGAGGCCAAGATCGTTGAATTCCGTTACACCAAACTGTAGTAATGGGAGTTTTTTCAAAGTACTATTCATCCTTCCCTCCCTCTTTTATTCAAAGAGCAAGCGCAATTATTCTCATCGAAATGATTGTAAATCAACTCGAGAACATGAAGAAAGTGTTTTTGATATTTCTTGATATATCAAATTTACACAAAAACCCGTTTATTAAACTGGACAATGCAATTACGCCCTCTAGGGGCTGTCCTGGAAACTTGAAAATAATTTCCAGAGATTTCTCTTGGCCACTTTCATCATTCATATTTTTTTTCGAAACCTGCGCGGTAAATAGTTTCCGAGACACAGCCGGCGTCCTTTCTTAGTGGTACACCCGGTACATATGGAACTTAAATTGAAAGGCAGCCCAAAAGACATTATTTTAGGTATTAATACAGTGTGTCCCACTTACCATGCTCACCATGGGTATCTTTTTAACGGTGAGAGATACGAAGTCGGTTAAATGACACCAAATGTGTAGTTTGTCAAGGCCAACTATAATGTGAAAAAATATTTTGATAAAATCTATTCGTTTTTGTGTTATACGCAAAAAACAGATTTTGATCATTTTCATGTCTTCTCCGTAACTTCCTTATTTATGAAAATATTCAAATAGGAATTTCACATTCTCATGGCAGTTTTTCAAAGTGATTTCGAAAAAAATATGAAATTCATACCAACTCTTCTAGAATTTGAGATAGCAGCACCAACTTTAGTTTTTCATATGTAGCTCATAGCTCACTATGACTTAGTTACAAATAACTTTTTTTTCTCTTACAGATGATACGTCGCAGTTATAGTTTTGTGTTGATAACAACGGAGTCATCGTCATTTATACAAAACAAAAAATTATTCGGAAGCCGCCATCTCGAATTTATGAATTTTAACAAAAATATCATGATCTCCGACCTCAAAAACCCCCACTTACCAATTTTGAATGGAATCGGACCAAGTCTTGTCCGCCATCTTGGAGCAGCCATTTTTTTTAATTTCAACAAAAATTCCATAACTCCGATTAACTTGAAATTTGGCAGGTGTTCATAATTTCGCTGACAATTCATTATGGAATTTTTGTTGAAATAAAAAAAAAATGGCTGCTCCAAGATGGCGGACAAGATTTGGTCCGATTCCATTCAAAATTGGTAAGTGGGGGTTTTGAGGTCGGAGATCATGATATTTTTGTTAAAATTGATAAATTCAAGATGGCGGCTTCCAAATAATTTTTTGTTTTGTATAAATGACGATAACTCCGTTGTTATCAACACAAAACTATAACTGCGACATATCATCTGTAAGAGAAAAAGAAGTTATTTGTAACTAAGTCATAGTGAGCTATGAGCTACATATGAAGAACTAAAGTTGGTGCTGCTATCTCAAATTCTAGAAGAGTTGGTATAAATTTTATATTTTTTTCGAAATCACTTTGAAAAACTGCCATGAGAATGTGAAATTCCTATTTGAATATTTTCATAAATAAAGAAGTTACGGAGGAGACATGAAAATGATCAAAATCTGTTTTTTGCGTATAAAACAAAAACGAATAGATTTTATCAAAATATTTTTTCACATTATAGTTGGCCTTGACAAACTCCACATTTGGTGTCATTCAACCGACCTCGTATCTCTCACCGTTAAAAAGATACCCATGGTGAGCATGGTAAGTGGGGCACACTATATATCATATCATTTCATTCGGGTTGTCATGCAACACTTCAATGAAAACGCGACTTCCAAGATAATAACAGACAAATCTTTGAATCTTTGATCCACCAAAAAGATAGCAGTGAAAATTCTATTGACTTAGTAATTACATTTATGCATTCGTTGCGAAAATAACAGTATATAATCTGAGACATAATCATGATAGGTTTATTGTCATTTTGAAGTGTGCATAACTCCGGAATTTATGAGGAAACAACAGATAATCTTGTTGGAAAAGCTTAATTTAGTCTTATATAATATTATGTTCCTGTCCAAGCACAGTTATTGAAGAATAATATGAAGTTCAATAATCTCTGTCCTTTGATAGAGAAATCGACTTACGCTAACAAACATAACCTTCAAGCGACATTTGGCAATTTCCAGTTTTCCAAAAATCTGTATCTATTATCATTTCACAGAATTACTATGGAGCAGCTAAAGCAATTTTTTCAGACAACCCCCTGGGAATTACCTGTGGTATGGTGTGCCCTACGAGTGATTTGTGTGTGGGGGGTTGCAATTTGCAAGCATCCGAAGAAGGTCCAATCAATATAGGAGGGTTGCAACAATTTGCAACAGAGGTAAAATCAACTTGTTGAAAACTCCACACTATGTTTGAATAATTTAACGAAAATGGCCTTAATGGGGCAAAAACAACTGTTTCACTAGCTAAAGCCACGAACATTAAATTGATTTGATTATTGGGTGAAGCGTTAAATATCAACAATTTGAACACTATTTGGCATTTTGGCAAGAAATGCACTTGCAGATTCTGTTTATACGAATCACTGCATAGATAGATAGATAGATAGATAGATAGATAGATAGATAGATAGATAGATAGATAGATAGATAGATAGATAGATAGATAGATATATAGATAGCATAGATCCTGAGATGATGAATATTGAACAAATTAATGGGCTTATATCACAAAAAAAAATATTTCTTAATTCGATAGAATTCACCCAAACTAGCTCACCACCGCAAACCGTTTCTTGCTGTGAGCTCCCTACGTTTTGTAAAAAATTATTGAAATCCCCGATTTTTTGGACCTCTGAAAACGAGGCGATGATGTGACGTCAAAACCCTGATACTGAAACAGGACTATTCCAGACAGAGATGAATGATACATGATTTCTGAAAGAGTGAATTAACGCGAGATCACAGTTGAAAGAATTAATATATCGTTGCCTCAGTCTCCGTCGGACGTTTGGAATTTTCTTTTAACTAAGGCGAGATGAGGTTTCTACGTCATAAGAGGGCCCGTTTTCAAAAGGTACTATTATTTATGTCCAAAAATAAAACATGACAGTTAATTTTTCGATCGAATTATGTCATCAATCATTATTTATGTATAAAAGGATCATTATAAACATGGTTTGAGTTAAAAGTTCTACTAAGGTGTACACGCCCATTGACTATGAATTTGTATTTTTGAGAACATCCTGCCAAAATGTTTCCACTGTGTAATAAATAATATTATAAAAAAATAGTTGTTGCCCATCTGTTGATGCCTGACTTTTTTAGGAGTTGATCGATGCATATAATAGCATCACATTTTCCATGCGTGATTGAAACCTTTATCATATTTCATAGCATATAAGTGATGATGTTTTAAAAATTGTTGAGGAATCACTGATGGTGATTGACAGCATATTTTAGACGCGCAGGTAGTGACAGCGAGTTTCGGACATGATTTCACCCAGTGTATCCCTTTTGGTGGATATCATAATGTATATGTCGGCGTCAATTAGTGAAATCCGTCATATGCATAAGAAGGGAGACTATTTTTCCGCCTAAACCTCCTTCCTAAAAAGTATATTTTTCACGAAATTACTTGAGAGAACAGAAGAGACTACTGCTTCTGAACAACCTAAGCTGACTCGACCTAAATGAACGTTCCGAATGCCTGAAACTATTAGGCGAACGGTGTACGAAATTTAGAGTTACGCTGTTTGCCGGCAATACGTGAAATGTCTAGGCATTCCAGAGAATGACGCCGACATATACATAATGATACCCTCCAAAAGGCATACTGAGTGGAATCACGTACGAAAATCTGTGCCGGTCTATTTTGCCACCTTTGACTAAAAAGTTCGTTATGGAAGATATCCTTTTTAGATTTTCAGTAAAATGGGCGTCAAACAAATGAGAGATCCAAAAACTCCAAAACCAAAGAATCCAGATTCCAAAATTGTCCTGATTGGTGCAGGACCGGCTTCATTGTCCTGTGCAACCTTTTTGGGAAGGTTGGGATACGAAAATATAACTATTTACGAAAAGAATGATGTTCTAGGCGGATTAAGGTGATTTAACAAAAATTGTTTAGTATAGGTGAATTAAAAAAAATTGTTTAGTATAAGTATTCATACACTACACTATTTCACCACTAACCAAACCGATTTTTTAAAGCCTCGACACGTGTTTCGCTAACTATGTTAGTATCTTCAGGAGAAGATTGAAACTAAATATCCTATTCTAGTGTGCTGCTTATATACTAGGTATATGTTCACCCAACTGAAAAATACTACACTTTTCACTGTTGGGTGAACATATACCTAGTATATAAGCAGCACACTAGAATAGGCTATTTAGTTTTAATCTTCTCCTGAAGATGCATAGTTAACGAAACACGTGTCGAGGCGTTAAAAAATCGGTTTGGTTAGTGGTAAAACAGTGTAGTGTATTATCGCGCCAAAGGTTCCAGTCTTCGATATATAAGTATTCATATTCAATCTGAAGATAATGAAGACAGTTTCAAAGTCTGTATAAATCGACAGAAAAAAAAATTATTTCATGAATCATTGAATAAGTTGACTTTAACGAACTGATTAGTACATATCACTCGGATCAGACAATATCATAATTATTATATCAGTGATATCTATAGACCCCTGAGTGCAATAAGCCATTTTGTCAATAATAGATAAGGTTTCATAAACAAGGTTAATTTGAATAAGATGAATCTGATTGAATCTATAAAATATGTGCAATATTAGAGTTGTAAGTCCGTTATGTCTATAATATGAATTCCAAATTTTGCATAATATTTCAGTGCAACAGAAATCCCACAATACCGCCTCCCAATCTCCACAGTGAATTTCGAAATCAGCTTAGTCAAAGACCTGGGAGTCAAAATAATACCTGGCAGGTCCTTGTCAACTCAAGATCTCACCGTAGAACACCTCCTCAAAGATTCCAAGGCTATATTCGTAGGCATCGGCTTGCCACACCCGAAAATCAACCCCTTGTTCAAAAACCTCACGGAGGACATGGGGTTCTATTCCTCCAAGAGCTTCTTGCCGAGAGTCTCGAGAGCTAGCAAGGATGCAAATGATAATGGCAGCTGCCCTTGCAAACAGAACGCAGCCAAGTTGCCCAAGCTCCATGGAAATGTCATCGTTTTGGGGGCTGGAGACACAGCGTTCGATTGTGCCACTTCCGCTTTGAGGTGTGGGGCAAGGAAGGTGTTCGTGGTCTTCCGAAGGGGCTTCACGAATATACGGGCGGTCCCAGAAGAGGTGAGTAGTGAATCTATTGCATGCTTTTTTATTGTTTCATCAATGCAGTCAAGTTTTTTCATGCTGCATATGGCCTTTTTTTTCTTTCATACGTTCCAGAACGTGATATCAACGTTTTTCATGTGTTTTACACCTTATTTACGTTTCATCAGATTGTTTTAAGTTTCTCACGCTTATTCTATATATTTCCACGTAAGGTATTCAATAGATTCACAAACTTTTCATATTTGTCATGGATTTATAACGTTTTTCATGATTTTCTCACGGTTTTTCTTGTGTTTTCACGTGTTTCACGTTGTTCTATGTTCTCTTACATTTTATGAGTTTTTTGAAACATTTTCTCACGTTTTCTTAAGCCTGCTCGCATTTTCCCACGTGGTCCCACGTTTTCTCACTTATTCTTATGTTTTTACACGTTTTCATTCGTTTTCTTACGTATTCTTACGTTTCCTCATTTCTTATTATGTATTCTTGAGTTTTCTTACGTTCTTTCACGTTTTATAGCGGTTTCTTGAATTTTATTCTATTTTCAACCTATTTTCACAGACACGCGACAATGAAGGTTATCTTGCCGTTCGTTATAATTACCTATATTTATCTTGAAGAATTTCTATTACTGAAAAAATTAGCCAGTGAGTGTTTTTAATTTCCTGTTGTTGGATTTTTTACCCGCGATGGAATGTGTGCCGACGTGTGGCCTCTGTTAGCTGACGTCACGAGCTGTTCACTACGAGCCGTCAGGCCTTGTTATGTCGGGGGTAACGTCCCAGAGCGATGACTGTTCTTCCTTCCGATTTGCCTATCGTAGACTAGTACACTGTTTCGCATGCTTTTTCTTGTGTTATCAACGCAGTCAAGTTTTTTCACGCTGTATATGGCCTTTCTTCTCTTTCATACGTTCTTGAACGTGATATCAACGTCTTTCACGTGTTTTACATTTAATTCACGTATTATCAGATTGTTTCACGCTTCTCACGCTTATTCTATATATTTTCCAACGTTTATTACCTATACCAATTTCTTTTTTTCTTTCTTGTTTTTCTTGTTTCACGTTGTCATACGTTCTCTTAAGTTTTATTTATTTTATTTTCAACATTTTCTCACGTTTTCTTAAGCCTGATGCTTGCATTTTCTCACGTTTCCTGATGTTTTCTTCTGAAAATGATATCTAAAAGGTGCTACTACACCTGCAGTTAATCCCACGAAAAACTATGTTTCATAATTTTGTAAATATAAATAATTGATATTATTAGCGTATTTATCAGGAGACTCTATGGAGAATTGAAGATGACGCTCAGCCACTATTTCAAAATTTCGAGCTGTAATTTTTCCATAAGAAAGTAGGTTTGCATCTCCTATTTGAGTCCTTGGAATTTCTTCGTAATATATCAGGTGGTTCAGAAATGAGTAGAGGGGGAAGAATCTTCAGACTGACAGATTTAAATCTCGATTTCACTACTTCTCTTTCATTAATGATTAACTCAGGTATAGATATAGTTCAGCATCACAGTGTAATTTCTTGAAATATTTCTGAATTATTTCTGTTTCCGCAGGTCTCAGTTGCTATCGAGGAAAAGTGTGAACTGATTGGTTTCCTCTCACCACACTCTGTGAACGTGAAGCAAGGAAAAATAGTATCAGTCACTTTCAGCAGGACAGAAGAAACTGAGGACGGAAAATGGATACAAGACACCGAGCAGCTATCCACAATCAAAGCAAATTTTCTCATTTCCGCTTTCGGATCCGGTTTAGAAGAACAAGATAGTAAGTCAAGAAATAACCAAGATGGAATCTGAATATGGTATCGCTTTGTCTGTTTTTAGTGATTGATGCGCTGAAACCCTTACATCTCACCGACCAAAACTTGCCAAGAGTCGATCCAAATTCTATGCAGAGTTCGCATCCATCTGTTTGGTGTGGGGGCGATATAGCTGGGGTTGCTGAGACCACAGTGGAATCAGTTAATGATGGAAAAGTGGCAGCTTGGTACATGCATTGTGCTTTGGAAGTGAGTTTCCCGTAACTAACTCGCCATAGCCGAGCGAAAGGTGATCAAAGAGATCAAAATGGAAAGATTAAGCCGATATATACAGGGTGGGGCATTAGTGCGTCGGAGCTCGTTTGCTCGAGTTCTATGATAGCTAGAAACTTGACTCAAAAACGAATGTCTGAGACAACATGGTCAGTAACTAGAAATTATTACTGCATATAAAGGGGGCATCGGAAAAAATCTAGAGGATCAGGATCACGTTTCTTAAATGGAAAGCCCTATCTATTAGCACATTTTTTGAAGCATTCCTGTGACCTCAATCCACTTCTATAATATTTTTTTTGTCAAAATAATGTCATCTGCAGATCCATACCGGAAAAATCACTGTAATCACAATTATGAAGTTTAAGAGATAATAATCATAGTATCATTTGATGGAACGATGCGTGATATTTCTGTGGAATTTCCATGCCCTCAAATGATGCAGGGTGGTTCTCAAATGAATTATTGAACCTTGAAAATTCCAGGTTGGCCATTTTCATCGATACACATTCCTATCTGTTATTAAAACATCAAAAGTCCAATCCATAAATCAGTAAACTAGTTTTTTTATTGAAAGAATTCAAACCGGAATTGAAGCAAACATCAGAAACAGTTCATATGCTAGTAATTTACAAAATAAAAAGGGAAAAAAATCCATTTTCAAAATATCCCATGAATTCATAGAGCATAAAAAAAAACCAGGATAGTTATTAACAATTATGCACAATGGGAATTTTGTTCTTTTTCACTTTGTGAATAACTAGCACATGAACTATTTCTATTTGCTTCGATTCTGGAATCAATTCATTCAATGAAAAAACAAGTCTACTAAATTATTAATTTGACTTTTGATGTTTTATTAACATATGAGAATGTGTATCGATGAAAATGGCCTACCTTTAATTTTCAGTTCAGTTCAATAATTCGAAAATGGTTACGAATATCTATGTATATGGATATTGGGATGAAAGATTTTTTTTATCGCTTGGAGCGCACGAAAGGGAATCCCTATAATGTTCACAGAACATCGTGCGTTCCTAGGGAGGATAGGGACAGGAGGTAGGTATTGGAATTGTTTTTGAACTTCTGAAGATTATATGTTGTTGGGAATACTTCCACAGGCAATGAAAGATGTTCGTGTTTTGATTTCACACCAAATGGTCTGAAAATATATGGGGTATTTCATTTGTGAAACTCGGGAAAAATCACTTTCAACAGTTCCGAATTGAAAAAACATTTTTAGACACCCTGTTTAATTTGAGGGCATGAATATTCTACAGGAATATCACGCATATTTCCATCGAATGATGATTATAATCTCTGTTTTTTTCTAGTATGCTCATGTACAGTATACAAAATACGGTTGGACAAATTGCGGTTCTTTGCATTCACAGTAAAGATGAATACGATTTCTAAAAAAATTCTTCTGTTAGATTATTGGTTTGAAATTGTATATTCTGATGGATTACGGATCTGCCATTTTACATTCTGTTGATTTGGGTGTTTCCGATATCTGGCATCCCAGCTATAGAACCTAACATTATTTACTCCTTTTGAAGGCGTTAAGTGTGTTTTTACTAATAAGTTAGTTTTCGTCATTTTATGAACCACTAGTTAATAAAGATATAGACAATTAGCCACCTCTGTTTCACTGTTTTGATGCGATATTCACAGATTTTTTTTTGTTGAGGGATTTTCTTGAATCCTGTTATGTTTTTGATTTGCAGCTTTTTCTTGGGGTTTGGATTCGGTTTCATAAATAATTCAAAGGATTAAGTCGAAAAACGATTCGCCCATGGCCATGGGCTTTGTCAATTTATACATTTTTTTAGACCTGAATCAAAAGAAAAGAGAGATACGTACCTCAACCAATTCATAATTCCGACGATTGTGGTATTCTTGTGAATATTTTTATTATTTTTATTCAGGAACAGTATGTTTGAATGGAAATAATAAAAATATTCACAAGAATACCACAATCGCCGGAATTATGAATTGGTTGAGGTGCGTATCTCTCTTTTCTTTTGACTCAGGTCTCATCACTATCACTCTACAATGTAAACCATTATTTTACAGAACCAAAAAAATTTAATAAATTGACAAAGCCCATGGCCATGGGCAAAACGTTTTTCGACTTAATCCTTTGAATTATTTATGAAACCGAATCCAAACCCCAAGAAAAATCTGCAAATCAAATTCACAGGAATGGCTCTCGCATATGGTAGGTATTTAACAATAATGACTTGATATATGCTGTCATGGTGTTTTAATACGAATTGAAAAGAAGTGCTATCATAGTGACACAGGTTCACATTTCAGTTTCACAGAACTATAATGATTGAAATAATAATAATAATAATAATAATAATAATAATAATTCATTAGCCCCAGTTATGTTTAGAATACATTTAAGGTTGTCATGTACAGAAAATATAAAACGATCACAATTTAAAATGAAAAAAATATATCACAGTGGTGTCTCGTAAAGAAAGAAGTCAAGAAATTCATCATGTGAAAAGAAGGCATAGCAAATATATTGCTAGTGGAGAAAAAAATGTAATATTCACCTTGGTAGTAAACAATATTATTACCACGGGACCTTATAGTCCTCGGCTGAAGCCTCTGGATATAATCTTGGTCTCTCGGTAATAATGTTATTCTTCACTACCTTGGTGTACAACTATTATTTCAATTTCAGGGTTTGCCAATGGATTCGAAACCACAATTGCCGCTGTTCTATACAGAAATTGATGAAGTGGATATTTCTGTGAAAGTGTGCGGAGTGAAATTCGAAAATCCATTCGGGTTGGCATCTGCACCTCCAGTAACATCTGCTCCCATGATAAGAAGGGCGTTCGAACAAGGATGGGCATTCGTGGTTACAAAAACGTTTTGCTTAGATAAGGTACGTAGCTATTACAGGCTGACTCATCTAATATTACGTGAGAAAAACGATGTGTGGCCACGAGAATGTGATAGAAGATGAAAGCTATGATACTAGCAGAGCAATGAAATGAAATGCACCAAATTATACAAAGGTAAAGGTGTCGGAGCGGTACTGATTTTACTTACCGGGATGATTGCGAGCCAGTTTTCAAGATCGTGAATATATAATGATAAAAAAATACTAGAAAACTTCACACGCGGGCGGAAATGGATACCTTTGCTCTCTTGATATATAAATAGCTATTACTCATTTTCTGAGCTCCCTACTGCTTTGTAAACATCAACTCCACCCTGGCCACCCACACTTATTTCACCCGTTTCGAGCTTCCCAGATGACCTACTGATAATGAACATTGACAAGCCTCACTGTGCTTCTATATATTCCTGTTCAACTTTGATTCACAGGATCAAGTGACGAACATATCTCCCAGGATAGTACGAGGAACTACATCTGGTGATAATTATGGACCACAACAAGGATCCTTTTTAAACATCGAAGTGATTTCAGAAAAGTGTCTTGATTATTGGCTCCAGGCAATAAGAGAGCTAAAGAAAGATTTCCCAACCAAAGTAAGTTTGCCTTCCGTTCCAAAAATTAACTGCTTCCATATCTGGACAGTTTAGCAATAATTTATTGGAAAATACTACCTACCTAATCCTCATTTGATCTTCCAAAAAAAAAAGAACAGTTACTGTCGCCTTATATGATATACAGAAATATATGTGTTTAAGGTTATGATAGCTAGTGTTATGTGTGGTTATGTGGAAGAAGACTGGAGAGAAATATGTTCGAAGACTGAAGAAGCTGGAGCTGATATGTTGGAGTTGAATTTGAGCTGTCCTCATGGGATGGGTGAATCTGGTATGGGTTTAGCTTGTGGTCAGGTAAAAATCATATAAGGATCGTTTAGTACAGGAATGAACATCATTTTGGTGATTATTGTAGAAACCAGAACTAGTGAAGGGTATTTCGGAATGGGTCAGGAACACCGTTAAAATACCATTTTTCATCAAACTCACCCCTAATGCCACTGATATCACGGAGTTGGCAAGAGCAGCAGCAGAAGGTTAGTTGGAACATATGTCATTTGTTAGATAATCAATGGTACATTTGTTTTTCTGCAACCGACACAAAAGTCGTCCATTTTGATACCAAAATTAGCTCTCAAATTGACGTTTTCATTACTGACACAAAAACAGATATGTTGCTAGGCAACATATTTAGTTCCTAGGAGCTTAAGTTGAATTTTAGTTCCTAGGAGCTAAAGTTGAATTTTAGTTCCTAGGAGCTAAAGTTGAAATTTTGCTCCTAGGAACTAAAAAGGATGTACTGAACGTCATCAAGAATAAACAACATTATTCTGACGGTTGCTTATTTGTGTTGAGACTCATACCTGATTTGTTTCCGATTTCAGCAGATTTGGCATTTCATACCCATGCTGGAGATATGAATATACACCTTATTATAGTTTAGTATTGGAATTATAAACATCTCAGTTGAGTATTTTTGTTTTGATCAGGGAAGCTTTCAAGATTCAAATACTTGCTTGATCTGTATTTCATTCGTTATTCTCGGGATGGATAACTGGTTTTTGAATAATCACGGCAAGCAATAGTTTCTTTGTCTCAAACAACGATATTGTTTAGCTTCATTTGAATATAAAGTCAAACAGTTCAGTTGTAATCACTAGTTCAGTGGTTGTAGTATGGAGGGGAATGAATAATTACTATCATCATTGTTGATATGCTCACTAACCTAACATTTTCCACGTCTTGTTCCTGTAGCTGGCACTGGCGCGGTATTTGCCATAAGAGCACCTGGTCCATACACAAATATGTCGTTCTGTGGTTATATTTATATTGAAACTACAATTGAAACATCCTAGAAAACCTTGTCGCTTGTCAAACAAAGTGTCACTATTGATCCTAATGAAACAATCTACTATTTTACGGTTGGTTATTTGGGTTGGGACGCATACCTGATTTCTTTCCGATTTCGGCAGATTTGGTATTTCATACCCATGGAATCTGATTAATTGGATAACTTATTTTTGAATGATCACGGCCAGCAATACCTTTTTGTCTCACACAACGATATCAATTACAGAGCCAAACACAGTGAAACATGGAGAAATGAATAATCGCTATAATTATTGTTGATATGCTCAATAACCGTACATTTTCCACTTCTTTTTCCTATACCTGGCACTGGCGCGGTATTTGCTATCAGGGTTGACTTGTCGAAATGAATTTATCGATATATCGATTCAATGGAATACACAAATAGGTCACTCTGTGCCCTGTGGTTGTATTTTTATTGAAACTACAATTTGAACATCCTTGACAATTTAATAAATCTGATCGGTAACTACATATGAATCCTAAATATTCATAATTAAATATTGGGGGACAATGCTGGTCACTACCATGAAAATAAAACAGAAACGTGAATAACCTTACTCGATCAAGACATCTTTGAAAAATTACTCTGATATAGCTACACTAATGTGGCTATATTTAAAGCCACCTTAAGCTACGCCAAGACAGTATTCCCGCTACATGCAAAGTTTGTAACAGGAATCAATAATTTCGGGTTTTTTATGAATTCTATGATATTCAGAATCATAATCCACACATTGAAACAAACTTTGAACAGTGATGTGTTCTTAACATATTGACGTATCTTAAGACTATAGGTATTCAAATTATATCTCTGTGTCTTGCGTGGATTAGCCCTCACATTAGGCTTCACACTCTGATTGAATTGAAACATTCTATTTAGTTCTTGGTTATTGAAATTGTTATATATTTCAACTCAATTTGAGTTAACTGACGAAAAATATCCTCCACCCTGCATCTGTTTTTCTGTTTCTGTCAAAAATTGTTGATTTTTCACAGAACACCTATAACAACAAACACTGAACGAAGAATTCTTTCAGGTGGCGCTTGGGGAGTTTCGGCAATAAATACCATATCAGGATTGATGCATTTGAATCCTGATGCTAGTGCTTGGCCAGCAGTAGGTCCCGACAAGAGAACTACCTATGGGGGAGTAAGTGGAAATGCCACCAGACCAGTTGGTCTCAGAGCCGTCACCTCCATTGCCAAACATATTCCGAATCTTACGATCCTTGGTGAGTTAGTTGTATCAAAGGTGCATAGATGTAGAAGAAGATTGTTTAAACAACCATACTAGGTAAAGTTTATGCAGTCAGTTGAACAGATCATCAAACGAATATCGGGCCGCGCTGCCGCACTCTTTGAACTTTCAAAGCGACCGACGGCTTGCGGTGATGTCTTTTTCCAAATGACTTTGCATAAACTATACCTTGTCAATAATAAGTCGACCTCAGACCCCTACTTATACCCTACAGAGAGACAAAATGTCACAAATCTGCAGACTACCGCAATCCCTAGGAATCTCAAAGTGATTTGATGTCCCACTGACAAATGTTGGGAAATCTAAAATCTAAAGACTGAAAATTCCAGGGAATTAGTGAGGCCGTGTTATCTATACTAATACTATAAAGAGGAAATATTTGGGGTTTCCGGGGTCGAAGATTAGGATTCTCTCGTCAGAATTTGAAAATTCGGGCGTAATTTGGAAATTCAAGATGACGGAACCAATATGGAGAACGAGTTTTGTAATTATGATCCGATTCTTTTCAAAATTGTTACCTATAGGGGTGTTCGTGATCGCAGATTATGATTCCTTCGTCAAAATTGAGAAATTCAAGATGGCGGAGCCAAAATGGCGGATTTTGTAATTAGGATCCGATTTTATTCAAATTCGGTATCTGGTGGTTCTCGGGGTCGGAGATTATGATTCTTTCGTCAAAATTAGAGAATTCAAGATGGCGGACCCAATATGGCGGTCGAGTATTGTAATTATGATCCGACTCTCTTCAAAATTGTTATCTGGGTGTTTTCTGGGTCGGAGTTTATGATTCTTTTGTCAAAATTCGGAAAGGGCGGGATTTGGGAATTCAAGACGGTGGAAGCGATATACACCGAACGAGTTTTGTAATTATACACAGATTCTATTTAACTTTTGTGAGTGGGCGTTTTTGGGATCAAAATTTATGATTTCATCGTCAAAATTAGGGAATTCAAGATGGTATTTCTAATATTGACGACCAGTTTTGTAATTATATATTCCGACTCTATTCAAAATATTCATCTGGGGTTTTAGGAGTTGGATATTATGATTCTCTCGTCAAAATTGAGAAATTCAAGTGAACTAAAAAGCAGTTGGAATAAATAGTAAAACTAAATAAGTACGCTGTTATAGATAGCGAAACTGAAAAGGAGTAGAAAATAAAATAAAAATAGTGTATTGGTGAATATTGAATTGAAAAAATATATTATAGAAATAATGTATACATCAAAACAACGTTTGCTGTTTTAAAATATTTTCCTATATTTTTAGGCGTTGGTGGAATAGATTCTGCTTACACAGCGTTCCAGTATTTACAGAGTGGAGCATCTGCCGTGCAAGTTTGTAGTGCTGTTCAAAATCAAGATTTCACTGTCATAGACGACTATTGTACTGGTCTCAAGGCTATGTTGTACCTCGATGGAAAGCTGACTGGTTGGCAAGGACAAAGCCCACCTACTTATAAACACCAAAAAGGAAAAACCGTCATGTCACTCTACGATGAAAATGGGAAGGTAAAAACAATGTATCATAGTTAATTCACGTTATTCTCGTAAGGTACTTAGTTGATGTATACTTTTTCATGTGCCGATCTACTGCTGAGTTAATATTGGATCTGATATTTTTCAAGGTAATTAATCACAGCTAGATATATTGTTCAATTATTATCACACGAGAGTTTTTATTGTCGAAACTTGACATGTATCGATAAGAATTTTGTTGCCTTGGCAGTTTTTTGAGTTGAATTACCTAATGACAACAAAACCCGAATTATAAATGCCAAGCTTACTTCGACTAAAAAAAGCTAGAGTGTAATTCGGTGAGATAATTTCATTCATCAAACATTTGTTATGTCTGGTTGTCATGCTTTCAAGAGGTTCAGATATTGTCGCTGGAAAAGTTGGGGCAAACTTTTTTCGCTGTCATAATGACAAAATCACGTGGCTTGTGGGATTTTTCATACATGAATTAAATTGTCTTTGGTAAACATGAGAATCTGTGTAGATCCTACGATAGAATAACAAGTACTATCATCAGTGGACTATCGTGGACTCGTCAAAATACTGTTTTTGCTCTATCCAATATATTGAGACAAGAATGAAGTTTCCCTTATGATCGGGGGTATCCCACATAACATGGGCCACCTCCTTATCTGGTAAACTATTATATATACAGAAAAAAGTTCAGAATGAAAGTTGTATTACTTCTTATGAAATTTATTTTTTAGATACTTTCATTTATACAGGATGGTTCATATGTCTGTGACATATCACAAATACGTTTTTTCAAATGGAACACCCTATATTTTATCATATTTTTAGATAGTCCTTCAGAAGACGAGTTCAATGATATATAATAACATGGGTCTGAGATCACCTGTTTCGGATTTATACACGATCTTCTTCAATAAATTGTCTAATTTCAAAGCCCTATAGAAACGTTGCGAATGAAGTTTTCGATTCGCAGTTTCCGCTTTGAATTAACAAAGTTTGTATATTAGTCTGTTCTATGGTGAAAATTTAGGAATTTTGAATTTGCCAAAAGTGATGACGTATTTTGAAAACCAATAAATATCTCGAGATTCTCAAATGGAACACCCTATATTCCATTCCAAATTTGCATAGAGCTCAGGAAGACGAGTTCAATGGTATATCATAACATGTGTCTGATATCACCCGTTTCGGACTTATACACGATCTTCTTCAATGAATTGCCAAATTTCGAAGCCCTATAGAAACGTTGCGAATGAAGTTTTCGATTCGCAGTTCCCGCTATGAATTAACAAATTTTGTATGTTTTCTTGATCCATGGTAAAAGTTCATGAATTTCGCATTGGCCAAAAGTGATGATGTATTTCGAAAAACGATAATTTTTTACAAATTTTCGAATGGAACACCACCCTATTTCATTCCATCTTTGGATGTAGCTCAGAATGACGAGTTCGATGATATATTAAAATATGGGTCTGAGATCACCCGTTTCGGACTCATACACGATCTTCTTGAAAAAATAATCAAATTTCAATGGCAAAATTCTGACTGTTATTTTCATATTAGATAAAAAATTTGTAATTTCTGTGAAACAATTCGTAATAAAGACTTTTGAAAACAAGGAATATTATCGAAATTTTTATGTAATGTTATACTATTATTTCACTGAAAAACCTTCTGGAAATGATTGAGCACAGGTTATCACAATTAAATTTCACCAACATTTGACTCAATACGAGAGCAATGCGGGAATATTCAATTAATAAAATGTATTTGAACATTTTTTCTGATTGTCTGCCTTATCGATTCGGATGCATTCATTGCAATAAATGTCATTTCCTCTATCCTCATAAAAATCGTATATCTTTCATACTGTTCAACATTTTTCATTGAATTCTCAATGAATAAACACTGGACATAAGTAAATTATCGAAGAGAAAACCAAAACTCAAAGTGGAATGACATGCCAACGTGAGCTGAGTAGGCTGTGCACTCATAGATGGGATTTTTGTTTATGTCATATCAATAACTGTCAAACCCGATTATTTATTGTTGAATTGGTGCAGAGAAACTCTTTCAAAATGCATATTCATTCTAAAGAAGAGAGATTTGATCTTTATGAGTGCTATTTATTAAAAAACAGAAATACTGTGCTGGCTTTGAGAGAATATCGTGACCGTTTTCCACAAAGTGTCGTACCAAACAAAAAAATATTTCAGAGAATAGAGAACGATATCCGAACAAAAGGTATTCTCAAACCGAATAAGAGAACTAGAGGAAATGTAGTTTTGACCGAAGATCGTGTATAAGTCCGAAACGGGTGATCTCAGACCCATGTTATTATAGATCATTGAACTCGTCTTTCTGAGTTCTATGCAAATATGAAATAAAATATAGGGTGTTCCATTTGAAAATCTCGAGATAATTATTGGTTTTCAAAATACGTCATCACTTTTGGCAAATTCAAAATTCCTAAATTTTTACCACAGAACATGATAATATACAGACTTTTTTAATTTATAGCAAAAGTTGCGAATCGAAAACTTCATTCACAACGTTTCTATAGGGCTTTGAAATTAGACAATTTATTGAAGAAGATCGTGTATAAATCCGAAACGGGTGATCTCAGACCCATGTTATTATATATCATTGAACTCGTCTTCTGAAGGACTATCTAAAAATATGATAAAATATAGGGTGTTCCATTTGAAAAAACGTATTTGTGATATGTCACAGACATATGGACCATCCTGTATAAATGAAAGTATCTAAAAAATAAATTTCATAAGAAGTAATACAACTTTCATTCTGAACTTTTTTCTGTATATATAATAGTTTACCAGATAAGGGGGTGGCCCATGTTATGTGGGATACCCTGTACCCGGTACAGGTGAAAGTGTATCGGAATTAGGCATCTTTAATTATTTTCTACGAAGGAGGATATCTACTTAATAATGGAGTTGTAGGTTCATAATGAATCTCATGTAGCTAATAACAACTAAAAAACCACTATCTCGAAGCTTGCTATTTATTATTCAATTGAATTATTTACTATTCAATACTGAATAACAAGAAGGGGTTTTCTTATAGAGCCCTACGACCACTGAAAAGGTACAAATATTGAAAGTACCTTTTTTTGAAGGAAAATATCTCATTATCTTCTGGAAGGCAACCACCGAAAGAAAATAATGAAGCTACATCGACAATGTAGAAAATCTCTGAGTTTAAAAAGCCTTTGTGAGGATGAATTATTGCTATTGTATAACTCTTCGGCAGGTATCATCACAAAGTTGATGAAGATTATAGATGGTGAGATCACCAAAGATCTCATACATTTTTGACTTGAATCACAATATATGACATATCTAGTAATTTTTATGAGAAACGGTTTCGAATCTTTCAGAAGTTACCCCACTTTGGGCCATATCAGACAAAGAGGGAAGAAATACTGAGCAAACTTTTCAGAGAATCCGAAGTGAAGAACGGACAAATACTTCATCATGATAGTGACAGTGGCATTACTCTGAATAAAATGAGTTATGTACCCTCTGTGGAGGATATAATAGGAAGAGCTCTACCCAAAATTGGTGCATACAAGGAATTGGATAATACTAAACAAGTGGTTGCCCTTATAGATGATGTGAGTATTGTGAGCAGTATAATGGAACTGATGGAATTGATATAAAAAAATACGAATGTTGTTTTGTTGTCCACACCATTTCTAATTTTATTCTAAATAGCGTGTCAATTTCGAAAGTTTTATTTGTAATTGAAATTAGTCGATTGAATTTGAAATTGAGTATATGAACTGAACCTCACAAAATTATCAATTTAGTTTCAAAATTCACTTATATATAATCTTTCATATCATGGTTCTTCATGAAATTTCATCTGAATTTCAAAATTCATCATTTTTAATTCCCAATTGGAAAAAATGTCGTCATTATGATTGAATTTTCTCCTTATATCACTCCTCACTTTTCATATAATTGTAGAATATCAGATCAGATACAATATACACAGGGTGTCCCGAAATTACATATTACTTTCTTCACAGGGTATCTACTATAATATTTTTCAAACTATTTTTTTCATTGTTCCTTTCATATTTTGAGTCAAACATCACAAGTAGATGTTGAGAAAAGGGTATTTTCTATCGAAAACAAATTTTTGGGAAAATTCGGAACCCTATTATAAGGATAAAGCAATATTTTTGTTACGCAGCAGACTTTTAAAATCGATCTCGAAAATGATGAGAGCTACCGAAACTAAACGAGTGTGTCATTTTCATGTAAAAATTATATTTTCATATTTCCTGGTCAAACTGCCGAATATTGCATAATAAAAAATGGTGGGGAAAGGAATGCTCCTTGCCCCACCTATTTCCCACGCCCCTGATCAGAATTTCCGAAAATTCTCAACATTCTCAAATCGCACATGAAAAGTGACATACAGGGTGTTGCGAAATTCGACCAACAAGACAAGTGAAAGTCCTCGTGATTTCATAATCAATGAGATAGGGACATAAGGTCTTCAAGTGTTCAGTTCTCGAGATACAGGGCGTTGAAGTTAAGAAATTGAAATAGTTTTTCCGCAATATCTCAAGAAAAATTGAATATAATGCATTCAAATTCGCTATATGGCTTCATCTTTCGATGGTTAATTATTTGACCAGAAAGACATTCCGAGAATTTTATCCAGAGGTGCGCTACGGGTTGTGATAACTTTTCCTACCATATTTTCGGTTAAAATCTTTCTATGTAAATTAGGGACACCCTTTATAAGTTTGTCATTAAAATGTGAAGTGAACGTAGCATTTACCATTCTAGGACATGTGCATAAATTGTGGGAAATGCTACATGGCTTGTAATGATTCTGGATATCAAGCCATACATTTTGACCCAGAAACACACATTCCTAGTGTGAATGAAGATTGCACTGGGTGTACCATGTGTCTGTCTGTTTGTCCAGTAATTGATTGTATCACGTGAGTATTTCTAGAGCTAAAAAATCCAAATTCTGTATAGGAATTTGTTTTTTGTTTGTTCGTTCTATCCGTCATTCGGTTGCCCCCTTACGATCAACCCTCAAAAGTCTTCGAAAGTCTTGTGCGAGCAAGGAATGACGGGGGCCTTACCTTTTAACGTGTGATCCCAAACACTTAAATAATATTGAACAAAGAGTACAGTTCTTTATATTTGCATCTATAAAAAATTTCAGATATTTGCACCTATACAGATAATTATTCAATTTCATGCTCTCGGAGAGTATTTTGAATAATAATTGTTTCACTTGGAATAGCTATTTGTGTATTTAGAGCGCAAAGTGATAGATTGCCGCTCGAGAAAGTAAGTTACCGCGCGATGCGGAGCGGAGCGCGGTAATCTTTGGAGAGCGGCAATAACACTTTGTGCTCGAAATACACACAAGATTTTTTTCTACTAACGCAGCTTTTGAAAATAACTACCCTGAATGTATGAGCGATTGAAATAGTTGAGAAAGTTCTTATCCATATTATCCTATATGTCCAAAGGAAACAAAAAAAGAAGAATTGAAATAACTGACAAGCCAGAAAAAAAATGTCGGGCCTTCCAAGAATTGAAACTGGACCAACAGCGTGGCAACCTGAGCTTCAGACCTCTGAGCCATAGTACGATAAGCTCTGCAATCAAATTGAACATTACGATGCAATAAAATAAAGATACACTGTCTTTCTGATGACAACAAAGAGTTTAAATATAAAATATAATTCATCGTTTTCGACAGATATGCTTCATCGGAAGCTTCTTGTAGAAATTTGTTGGTATATATCTTCAGCGGTGAATGTTTTGGATTTTTCTCGCTTTATATCCAATAGATTGTTTCTTGGAGAAATGCGATAAGTTTCAGATACTTATTGATTCCGATATTATCTTAAACATTCAAGCATGTATACCGTACCATCGAATATATAGACCAATGAGTTGATGACTTCAAAGTCTTTGATTTTTCACCAAAATAAGCCAGTAAAACGTTTTCTGAATACATATTCACCATCTCGGAGAGGCACCAATTTATGAATGGATCATATTGTAATTCATATTTCTTCCTTGATTTCTCCGGTAAGAGATTCAAACTCTTGCGCTTTCTGCTATATCATCAGGAAGGAGGTGTGTTTGATGATTCACTGTCACTATTTTCCATCATGAAAGAATTGGGGGTTTTCAAGAATAGATAAGTATAGGTTACAGAGATGTGCGAGCGTTTTTTCAATATTTCCGCTCACGAGCGCTGTCAAAGAATGACATTTCTGGGAAAACGTCAACTTTGTGCTGGAATTTGAAAGCGTCAAAGCTTACTTTGTTAAGCGTTTGTAGAAAAAAATATTTTTTTTCTGTGACGGGAAAAAAGTTTGGCATTTCATCTCTGTTGGCAGGTTATAAAATGTCATTTTTCATAAATTACTTTTTTCCCGTGGGAAAAAAGTGAGTACTTCTTTCCCGGATATATATCACATATATATACTCTGTTAATGGCTTTTGTTGTGCTATAGTTCCGAAAAATTAGTCAATAATACCGTCTCCGAGAAAGAACTGCAAGTCCTTTTATCTTCCATTCGACTTCGCAGTTTCGTATATTACTAAACAACTACTGAAATCGCAATTTTTTTAAATCAAATCACAGAATTGAACTGACAGTAGTGACATCAGATATTTGATTACTTCAAAAGAATGATGAAGATGCCTATAAAACGCAGGTGTCCCTACTGTTAAAAACTTGAAATTTCACGTCGATAATTTTCAGATTTCGAAATAATGTAATATCTTCTCAATATTGATTCGTCCTTCCTTCTGTCACAGAAAAAAATAGTGTATTATACACGGGAAAAATATTAGATTTTAGCTCACGGTTTTTTGTCTCCCTCCGCTACGCGTCGGGAGACAACACAACCTGGAGCTAAAATCTACAACTTTTTTCCCTTGTATAATAAATAACTATTGATTTCAGTATGGTTCCGAAAACTATTCCACATGTTGTCAAGAGGGGCAAACCTGGCGACACCATAAAGATTGTTCATGCATTACATAATAATTTAGTTTCGTAAAATATTTATACATTAACATGAAAGTGGTGCATGTAGGTGATTCTGGAATGCTGATATTGTAATATTCTGATATTATATTATTGAGATAATGATAAGTTTGTTATAAAGTGAGAAGCTATTTGTTATATCATTAAAATGTAGTTGCAATAAAGATTATATTTTTATTGATTATTATTTCCTGATTATAATAGTCAATTGAATTGCATCTATCTATACGAAAAAAATATCCACAGATGATGAATATTTTAATTCCACTACTAATATTGATGATTCCTTCTGTTTATGTGTATCGATTGTATTCATCTATCTTCATATTGATTTCGTAATTTCACCCTGTATCAATATCTGCATACGAGGAAATGATAAAAATTTCGAAATTTTTTTATGAAATATCTGTTGATCGGTTTAGTGTTGACTGATGCTTTGAATTACTGAAATTCAAATTTTGTGGAAACCATGAGAATAATCAGATTTTAACAGGAATCACTTTTTTGTAGTAAACAAGTTACACAACCCCAATTTCTTATTCGAACCCCTTTCTTTTCATTGGCGCAGCAGTTTCAGATGTTTATTTACTGAAAAAAATTCAGTTCTACGCCCATGGAATGATATTCATCATAATCATGATATAGGTTCAATTGCCTAATGCAGCTATGCCAACATACCTAATTTGAGTGAAATCTCATGAGCAGTTTCGAATTTATGAAGCAATAAATTGAAATTGAAATGAAAACTTACAAAAACAGCATTCATTTAAACGCTCTAAAGAGAAGAATATAAAATTCTCCTTATGAATTTTAACTTTCAACTTCTTACCTTATTATACCTACACAATTTATATGATCATAAAAACTTGTGGCGGTGATCGTTATTCAATTAAATTGATATTTTGAAAATTGAAACTCAGCAGATTTCACATATTAAAATTAGTACTAGTTTATTTACACAAGTAAATCTCTAAAGATATCTACCTCAGAATTGAGATCAAAGATTCTACCCGAACAAACATACTTACATACATACATCGCAAGTTAAATGATAGTAGATTGTTTTATTAGGATCGAAAGTGACACTTTGATTGACAAGCGAATTTTGCATTTGCGAGGCGGAGCGTTTAGCTAGTTAATCATATTATTACAATAATCTGTCAAGTGTATCACATTGTTAGCATGTTTCATTCGGATCAAAAGTGACTTTGTTTGACTCGCAAATTTTGCAACAAAGTATCACTTCTGATCCTAATGAAACAATCTACTATTAATTAATTAAGAACGATTCAATCGCATCTATCTGAACGAAAAAAATATCCTACAAAGATGATGGCTATTTTAATTTGACTGATAATATCGATGATTCCTTCTGTTTATGTGTACCTATCGATTCTATTCATCTATCTCCATCAAATTGATTTCGTAATTCCATTTAATACACTCACATGCAAAAAAAACGCAACAAGTAAATATTTGGTGAAATTTGAAGTCTCATAGTTTTTTTATTTTTACTTCAATTTCCAAAATTTTTTCAGCAAACTGTGGATAAAATCATTAATTTCAACTGGCACATTCAGTATTTTGTTAAATGCTGGCTCATTAGTCATTATACAGGGTTAACTAGAAGTATGTTGATATACTCTAATTTTAAAACATCCTGTGGAATAATTTCGTGGTCAAATTCTTTCAAAATGCCAATTTTTGTTAAGAACCGATCCTTTTCGACATTTTATTTTTTGGTTCAAGTCTTTAGGTGCACTAGTTGATTTTTAAGAAGGACATGAACTTATCATCAACGTTTACTTTGAAAAATGTAATTTTTTGAAGAGTTGGCTTTGCTCGTTGTTTGACAGTGAGAGACCTTAAGGAACTCGAACCATGGTTTTAAGTGCGGAAAATTGCGCAAAAGCTGTCGCTCTTGTTGAAGATGGACGTAATTATGAATATGTTGCAATGATACTTCATGTTCATCGCTCAACCATCAAAAGAGTAATCGAACGTTTTAGACAAACTGGCAGAAATAAGCGTAGGGCAGGTAGTGGCAGAAAACGAAAAACGACTGCTATTGATGACAGATTACTTCATGTAAATACTCTGCGGGATCGTCATTTAACATCAGTGCAGTCTAGAAATCAACTTCAAGAGGTTCGAGGTACAAATGTTAGTGTGTGGACAGTTCGCCGAAGATTGAAGGAGTTTGGTTTGAAAGCTTGCAGACCAGCAACGGGACCCAAATTACTTCCGCGTCACCGAGTAGCTAGACTGGAATTTGCTACTGAACATTTACATTGGAACTTGGGGCAATGGAACAATGTTCTTTTCACTGACGAATCCAGATTCTGCTTACATTCTCCAGATGGACGGAAAAGAGTATGGAGAAGGAACGGAGAAAGATTTGCAGAATGCACGTTCAGTCCCCATCTGAGTTATGGAGGAGGTTCAGTAATGGTTTGGGCAGGAATATCCAGGGAGGCCTGCACTGAGTTGGTGGTCATCGATGGATCTTTAACGGCTCACCGATATATTGAAGAGATATTAAGCAATTACGTTGTACCTTTTAGTGGATTTATCGGCCATGACTTTATCCTGATGCAGGATAATGCGCGGCCACATACAGCAATTTGTGTCACACAATACCTCGCGGAAGTAGGTATTAACAAACTGAACTGGCCAGCATGTTCGCCTGATCTCAACCCCATAGAGCATGTGTGGGACATGCTTGGTAGGCGAGTCAGAGATCGTGAAGTAGCTCCGGCTACCATAAATGAACTTCGTTTAGCCATTCAGGAGGAATGGCAAAATATTCCACAAGATGCTATTCGAAACCTAATTGACAGTATGAACCAACGTATGCAGGCAGTTGTGAGAGCCAGAGGTGATAATACAAAATATTAAGCTGATTTTGTTGTAAAAAGTACGTTTCCTCATCAGGTTATTTAAGTTACAGTTGAACTGGTTTGTTTTGAAGTTTGATTTTTAATTTGAATTGAATGAGTTTGCATAAATAAATTTTGTATTGATTGTTTATTATTATAACTAAACAATATATTGCTGCCATTTCATTGTAACACTCATGAACTGAGCTGTCATACTGACATTATGGCACAATGAGAAAATCCATGTCGTCAAAAAATAACATTTCTTAAAATTAGGTAAACTCTGTTGTTTGGAGTTCATTTCCCTCTTCAAATCAACTAAAGACTTGAACCAAAAAACAAAATGTTGGAAAGGATCGGTTCTTAACAAAAACTGGTATTTTGAAAGAATTTGACCACGAAATTATTCCACAGGATGTTTTAAAATTAGGGTATATCAACATACTTCTAGTTAACCCTGTATAATGACTAATGAGCCAGCATTTAACAAAATACTGAATGTGCCAGTTGAAATTAATGATTTTATCTACAGTTTACTGAAAAAATTTTGGAAATTGAAGTAAAAATAAAAAAACTATGGGACTTCAAATTTTACCAAATATTTACTTGTTGCGTTTTTTTTTGCATGTGAGTGTATATACTCGTATCTGTTTAAAATGATTAGGACGCTTTCGACTTTCATCATAGAAGCTCATTCTGATGTGATTCAAGAGTTTGTTTGGAAGATTTTCAGAAACTCTTCGATTGGGTGTCCAGAATATGTTACTTGAGGCACCTTGAGGCCAGGATTTACGATGGAATTTTAAACAGAAATACTCCAAAAATGGGAATTCTTGAATATGAGTCATTTGGCCAAATATATTGAAAATTGCAATCTATAGGGTCATGTCGATATGTAACGAAACAATAAGTTTACAAAAAATAATGGTATAGAGACCAAGGGCGTGTAATGTGTTATCTAGATACGGACTGGTATACATTGCATCATCGCATCGAAACCTCGCGCGATATATCAACATAACCAATCGATGACAATCTTGTCATTTTTGCATGGTCATGTCAAAACCAAGCAATTCATGCTCATTTATCTAGCATTATTTTTGTACTTTGTGAATCAATGCTCTTCAGATCTAACTATAAAGGTAAGTCACTTATGAAACTATGATGCATATTGAAATTGCTGTATTTTTTAAGGATGCAGGAATAGCAGCCATAAATGAGGGTGATATTGCCATCATATTTTGTAAGTTCGTCGTATCTTGAAAAAATTTTCCCATGAATTGATGAATCAAATCATCCATTTCAGATCTGACCCTGGAAAATATCTGTGACGAAGATGTTCAAATTTCAGTTAGTATGATACAATGTTGTGAGCGAACCATTGACAGTGAAAACGATTGTGATTCAATGTACCTCATTGGAGGTAACATGGGCATATTATACAAATCATACCAGAGAAATGTAACTCTGATATATCCCAACTTGGTAAAACTATTGAACAAAGTACAGTAGCTTGAAATTGATTCGAACTTTTTCAGTATTTTTTCAATAGGCAAGGTGTCTGTACTATTGCCGTGAAATATAAAACTCATAAATACGTAAAGAGCCTGACTAAGGAAATAGAATTCAAAACTAATTCTACGAATGAAGGTAAGTATTTATGTTATCTGAAATTGTAGTGATTCTAAAAGAAACTTTGAATTATCCTTTATTTCTAGACCAGAATCAGTGTAAATCTGCAGATTTGGGTTATCTACTTAATTGCAGCCCTGTGGACTGCGTTATCAAATACTCTGGTGGTAGAAGTTTCTTTAACCCAAATACAAAATTCTGCGAATTTGCTCAAATATGTGCAACTGAACCACACCTGTCTCCTACAGTGGTATTTTTTATGTCATTATATCAAGTAGGTACTTGATTTTGTGGATTATTCCAGGCATATTCGTGGATCAATAATGAATGTATCAATTTGAACGAAATGGTTTCCAAATATGACCTGAAACTGTTGGAAAGTAATCAAGTGGATACAAGTGATGATGATTCTGTGATAATGGTGAGAAATCAATTATAAGACAAATGATAACAATGGAGCAACATTAATCGGGATCCTTAGGAAGCATCGGAATACTCTGATGAAGATTCACCTGAAATATAAGTATTTCGAAGAAAAAGGAAGATTATTATATTATAACTTTATAATCTATCTATCTCATTCTGTTTCCCAATTATCTATAGAGGGTGTTATTTAATTGATGGATGAAAATGAAGGATATGGTTCCTTATTTTGAGAAAAATAGTTCAT